AAAAAAAAGTTTGTAAAATCTTAAACTGAACTAAAGATAATAAATACATAGCACAATAATAATAATATGATATATAGTATAAAAAGAAAACAATGTAATGATGGAATAGTATAGAATAATCAAAGGAAATGTTTCAGGAAATAATGCGACTCAGTTCAATTTTGATGGTATTTGTGGAGCTGCTAAATATATCAACCTTTTGATACATATTTCCATTTCTGAGCATTCGAGTGACGGGAGAAAAAAGGGAAAAAAAAAGGTTTTGGCTTTCTACTTCTCCTTCGTTGTAAAACGTGGGAATCTAACATACAAAGAAGTAACTTTCAGACACATACTGGAAGAAAAAGCCTTCTCAAAACATTTATTTTCATATAAACATTGAATTACACGAAAGAAAAATACTCGTAATTTCGAAACAAATACTTTTATATGAACACTGAACATGAAGAACACTTACTTTCCTATATTCTCTCTATGTGTATATTTTGGTGTTGAAAACAAAGCCTCGTCTAATTCCTTAATGAAAGTAATAAATTATAATAAAATATTTAACCTTCGTTTTGTCATCATAGCATTTAAATGCAGTTTGAATTGCAAGAAAACGAGCTATTGTTATGCAATATGAATTATCTACAAATGTGATTATGTCAAAATTGCATAAGTATTTTTTGTGGTTCATATTATCAAGGAATTATAAGTCATCATAAACATTAACAGGATTATTATGAAATCTATTATTCTTTAGATTCATATTTGCACTAAGTATGTTTTTTTTTACTGTAAAATTTCATGCAAACACATGCCAAATGGCCCCTTTCTCGGACTAGGTTCATCGTTGCAACTGAAAACTAAACAGTGATGGATTTCATTTTTCATTGTTTGTTGCCATGATTCGTCATCAGTTATGACCCTTTTAAGCAAATCTGTCATTCAACAATTCCTTTTCGTTTTTAAGTTCTTTTTGAATGTTGAAACCTAGATAATTAGAATCACATTTAACTACCCTTTTCAAGTGCTTGGAGAAATCTGTTGCATATTAGAATGTTTTGGTTGGTTTACGGGTTTTGTCGTGGTCTTCTTTGGTTACAATCTTCAACTGCAACTGCGGCAGTCATCTTCAGTGGCGTTTGTAGATTATAACCAAAGAAGACCACGGCAAAACCAGTAAACCAACCAAAACCATCTCTTGCATATTGCAGATATTTGAAAATAGTCAAATAAATGTACCTATTTATCTATCTATTCATCTATTTTTGCTATGCTAGAGAAGGGGGTATCATCCGGCCAATTATGCAGCTTCACCGAATCAAACTAGCTGATAGCTTAAATATGTATATCAGAACAGGAATAGGGCCCAATACTGAACCTTGAGGGACATTCCAGATCTCTCCATTTTGTGATAGGCCTTGGTAAAGTAACAAAATACTGCAGCTACAGTCCTACATTATTGAGCTAGTGTTCTATTAAAAAATGTCAATAATATATTGACGACAGTAATTTCAATCTCCATTGTTACAGATACCTATGACACGAGCAACATGTTGGGAATAATCATCATATCCGTTGTGTGCTGTGCCGTTTTGACATCTATCATTTGGGTGGTGATTATCTATCAAACTCGTCGGAAGATGGCGACACCAGTCGTTCAGACGGAATTGCAGCCAATTCCAGAAACTACCGACGGAAGTCGCACCCTTCAAATGCAACATCAGCTCTATGGGGACAATATATCAGACCAGTCGTCTTGCAAGGATAGTGGGACCGGAGATTCTGCTAAACGCAGCAGTGACGACCTAGAACCGGATTCGTTTGTTGCTGCTCCGGATGCGGGTGAAGCGGATGCTCTTAATTTACACTCTCCTTTGCTGCACTATCCGACCAACCATGATAGGATTGTCTGTTCTGAAAGCGTTTCTATTCATGGGGTACCCTTGGAAGATGTTTAGCCGAGGGTGAGGAAATATATCAAAGTTGATTGATATCGAAGCGAAGGTGAGTTTTGTTCCATTCATTTCCAAGTTGATAGTAGGGGTGCTCATTCGTTAATGAAAAGAACTAGCATGAACTTTATTAATGAATTCATGGGCACTCGCCTGGAAGGTAGAACTGATCGGGTTTCTCTTGGGTTTCCTACCTTCCAAAATTTGAAAAATGAATGAATCGAGAGTAGTAAGAGTCACTCTAAGAGGTTGTATTTTATGTTTTTACCAAGTATAAAGTAATATAAAACTGTATATTTGTTAGGTCAAATCAAATATATTTTATTGTTAGAAGGAAAATGCATCGTATAGCTAAAGTCTTATAATTATTGTTAATAATAATGATTTTTCTGGAGAAAATCCTTCAAAAACATGCAAATAAATCATACAAACACGATAAATAAAAATGAAGATATAAAATATAGAGCTTAGGTGGGCGGAGGGTAAATGGGTAAGAAATGATAAATATAAATACAATAGCAAACAAAAAATATACTAATTGAGTAAATATGAGTTCGTATGTGTATCAAGAGTTAAAAGTATCAAAAACAGGTATCAGGTTCATATAAATCAACTAGAAGCCCTACAGAGGCGCTTCCTAAAATATATGTCTTTTAAACTTGAAGGCCCTTTCCCACTGTAGAAACTCACAATTTTTGTAGTCTCGAGGTAAGGCGTAAATATTATTCATTTCTTTTTTAGATTCAGCAATGTCATTTTA